CTCATCCTAGAAAAAGTGCTACATACATTGCTGAATATCACTATGGTCACCTTCGATGTACTCCCCTTGGGAAGCTATGCACTGACACCAGTGCCTAGTCCACCCTTCAAAGCAATTTTGGAACTCTTTTTCTGGAATGGCAATCAGAGATGTTGTCATGTTACCCTTGATGTCCTGAATGTCATCAAAATGTCTTCCTTTCAATATTTTCTTTTATCTATGGGTAAAGAAAGAAGTCATTGGGGCCAGATCAGGTGAGTAGGGAGGGTGTTCCAATACAGTTATTTGTTTCCCGGCTAAAAACTCCCTTTGCTTTTGTTCATCTGTGAGCTCCTTAGGGACCATTTTTGCACATACCTTTCTCATGCCAAGATTTTCAGTTAAGATTTTCCTAACTGTTTCTTTATCGATGTTTACTTGGTCTGCTATGCTTCTCAGTAAGCTGATGATTTTGACACATAATTCGAAGAATTTTTGCAATGTTTTCGTCAGTTCTGCTCGTTACTGCCGCCCTGAACTCTTCATCAGTGACGCGTTCTCTCCTCTCAGAAAAACGTTTAATCCATTTGTACACTGCCGTTTTCTTCATGGTATTATTCCCATAAACTTGGACTAATAACATGCCTGATTTCACTTTCACTCTTGCCAAGTTTAATAAGAAATTTAATGTTTGTTCGTTGCTTCATTTCAAGCTCAGACATTCTCATGACAGCGCACAAAAACATGGAAGACACTGCCACATGTCAACACAAACACAGCTGTAAGCCACTGATATACCAAGGTTATGAAACCTTACCGAGCTGTTTGTATAGTGCTGCCAATGTAAGTGCATGGTGGCAAGTTCGTGAACTTAATTGTCAGACCTCATATATATTTAATTATAGTTGACATACAATATTATTATACTTCAGCTTCAGGTGTACAGTGCATTGGTCCTGCATCTACACAGTCTATAAAGTGATCCCCCTGATAAGTCCTTTGCCCATCCAGCAGCTTACATAATCTACATTTTTTATTGTATCCCCCATAATGTATTTTGCATCCCCATGACTGTATTGTGTCTACTAATGTGCACTTTCTAATCCTTTCACCTTCTCCCCATCCCCTCCCCCCTCCTGTCTAGCAACCAAATTTTTTTTTTTCTATATCTCTGAGTCTATTTCTGTTTTGTATGCTTATTTATTCTGTGCTTTAGATTCCACACGTAAGTGAGTTCACATGGTATTTGTCTTTCTCAGTCTGACTTATTTCACTTAGCATAATGTTCTCTAGGTCCATCCATGTTATTGCAAATGGAAAGATTTCATTTTGTTTTTATGGCTGAGTAATACTCCATTGTAGAAATGTACCATAGTACCGTTATCCAATCATCTATCAATGGGCATTTCAGTTGTTTCCATATCTTGGTTATTGTGAATAGCGCTGCAAAATACACATAGGGTTGCATATATTTTTTCAAATTAGCGTCTTGGGCTTCTCTGGATAGATACCCAGGAGTGGAATTGCTGGGTCATAAGGTAGTTCCATTTTCAGTTTTTTGAGATACCGCCATACTGATTTCCATAATGGCTGCACCAATCTGCAGTCCCACTAACAGTGCACCAGGGTTCCCTTTTCTCCACAGCTTCGCCAACACTTGTTGTTTGTTGATTTATTGATGATAGCCATTCTGACAGGAGTGAGGTGGTATCTCACTGTGGTTTTTATTTGCATTTCTCTAATGATTAGTGATGTTGAGTATTTTTTCATTTGTCTGTTGGCCGTCTGTATCTCCTCTTTAGAGAAATGTCTNAAATGGGCCAGTGAAGCAACGTCCTCCACAACTATACTGAAGAACAAAAGGACAGCAACTTGTCTGTTCCCCTCCCCCAATTCCCCAATAAAAAATCTTTAAAAAAAATTTAAAGACAAATAACCTTGACTCTCACCAGAAAAAAATAGCAGCATAACTATTCTTTTTAGGAGGGAATTAGTGTTAATAAATATGCCAGATCTGATTATATTGTCAACTTTTAATCTTATACTAGGAGTAGAAAGATATCAGCTCTGCTATTTTCTTGTTTGCTTGTGATTACATTATTGGAATGGATCTTCAATTAGCAGATTATTTACCAGAATATTTTTAGAAAGATAAGTTAAAACCAAATTATTTAATATGTAAACATGCAAACCCATTTAATTGGTGACATAAACTGAAATTCATTTGAAAGTTACAAAGTAAATGAGAGTACCCTATCAATTCCTTCATGCTGTATTACTTACATTCTTCCCTCAGGATATTTATTAAATAACAGTGAAATAATTCCGTTTTTTAAAGATAATGTAAGATAGATAACGTAAGTTGGAAACACAATTTTACTTTCACACACCAAAGGATGTCTTTTATACTTTTTGATATGACAGTATTCCATCTTAGTAACCACTGGAAATACTATGTTCTCAGTGGCCTGCCTGACATTCAGTTTGACCCTTCTCTATCACTTCATTATCTTCATATATTCCCCAACACAAGTTTTGCATTTTAACAAGACTGACGGTGTAGTCTAAAACATTGTTGTATTCTGAATATTTACTATTTTCTCCATTTCATGAAGGAATGATGTTCATATCTTTGTTACTCATTTAAATACGTTCAGTTTTTTGGATAGAGGGCATATCATGTGTACTGCTGTTTCCCTGTCCTGGACCATGATTGACTCTGCTAATAAATCACAGCATTCTTTTCTACTGCACTCAGCTCTACGCCAGAACCCCTCCAAATACAGCTTTGCAGGCAGCCGAAAGTTTGTCATGTGAATAGAAACTTGTTTGCTTTAGAGTACACTACCTTTCCAATGAAATTTTCCTTATCTGTGCATTGTTTCTACCTTCTGTATTTTAAGATATCCTGCCCTGTGATAATTTATTGTTATCTTCTAATGCAAGATTATATGTCTTTTGAGAATAGGGATCCTTGTTCATATTTATTAATCTTTTTTTATTGGATTATATATAGTATATTGATTATTTACATGATATTTCTTATTGGAGACTATGTGTGCATCACCTATGTGTGTGAGAAAACATTAATGTGCTGATTTTTGAATCCAAAATTCTGAAACAGTGTAATTAGCAACCATATAAACTACTGCTAAAAATAGTTTTTAAAAAAATGTCTCAGAAACTTGTGTTTTTATGTCTTTTGGCTTCCATTAGTTTTTATAATGTTTCAGTTGATACTGAGTTTCCTCTTTAACGCAGAATACTTTCATGATTTTTTCCTTTATAATTGACTTGTATTTTGAGTTATATTAATGATTCAAACTTTTAAAGAATTTTAATTATTTGTGAAATTAGGCCTATGAATTAGATGTTGATTTAGGACCTCTGAAAGTAATGGTTCTTTGTTTTATTTAGAATATTTGTTTTATTTAGAATATTTCCTAATTTTAGGAAAATACATAGTTAAAATTTTTTAAGTAGGACATACTCATCCTAAGGAAATAATCGGAAAAGGCACAAAGATGTGTATATACAGGAATGGCTTTTAGATGGAGTGTTCAGTTGTGTTAAATGCCTTTGAGATGTCAGGTAACTATAGGACATAATATACTTTTCTTTTATTACATGGAGGTCCTTGGTAACCTCTATGAGACATTTTAGTAGGGGACAGATGCCAAAATGCAGTAGTAAATAGGGAATGACAAAGTGAAGACAAGGAGTATAAGTTAACATTTCAAAAAGCTTGTTTGTGAAGGGAAGGAGAAGATGTGGGATCTAGGATGGACGGGTTTGTTTAAAATGAGAGAGAAGTGAACATGAGATTGTTTTGATGTAAAGTTCTTGTAGGTTCAGGTGAGAGACAGGAAAAAGGTATAATAATGTTCTCAAGTTCATGGGATGGAGAGCACACATGGAGGGATTAATGTTGACTGGAAGAGGGGCATGCGTTCCTCTGAGACAGGAGGGAAGGACGAAACAGAGGGTCAGTAGGCGTCTGATATTAGGCAGTATACCCCAGGGGCCCCACACTGTTTTTATAAGACATTTATCAGGGGTACCACAATATGATGTGAGAAAGCATTTCTTAAATATAGCTACTAATAAAAAAATCACCTAAGCTTGGTTAAAAAATACAGATCCCAACGCCTTTCCCTTAAAGATTCTGATTCAGTATATCTGAAATAGACAGTGTGAGGAAAGGGCATTCCATTTAGGAGTAAAAGCATTTAGAAAGTCTTGGACTTCAGAAACACAACAGCAGATTCTGCAGACAACTAGTAGTACAGAAACTACTACAGACAAAATAGCAGGAAATCCCTTTCAAACAACTTTATCTGACAAGTGGTACAAGAGTCAGACACTAATGAGTAGTCCGTTCAAATAACTGTATCTGACAAAGTGGTACAGTACTGAAATTAAGGCTGTATAAAGCACTTTGCACAGTGCCTGACATAGTAAGCCCTTTATAAATTTTAGTGATTTCTGTATTTCTTACTTTCTAAAGACTAAATGCTTCATATTTGTATGGGGTCATTGCTTGATTAGAATTTTTAGGATGAAGTAAGCTTCAGAGAATGCACACAAGCAAGCTATAATTTGTGGTTTTATTTTTGCAGGATTTTCTCTCTTCTCTCAGCAATACTACATTTGGGTAATATCTGTTATAAAAAGAAGACATACCGGGATGACTCCATAGATATCTGTAATCCTGAAGTTCTGCCTATTGTCTCAGAATTATTAGAAGTGAGTGATTACATTCTCATTTGTCATTTCAAGTACTGGGTAACTTCTCAGTTTTTATTTTGTGTAACCGTTTTGTAGGGGTAAATGGGTTCATGCTTTTTATTAATAGTGTTTCTCCAAAAGATGAATTTTTGCTTGTTCAGTGTGCCACAATCTTTACAAGATTTGGGATTTCTTTCCTGCTCCCTCTTGCCCCAGATATCCATAATCCCTCAATTTGCTGGAGAGGATGAATATTTCCCTCTAGACCAGGGGTCAGCAAACTGCAGCTCGCAAGCCACATGCGTGGCTCTTTGGGTATGCACATGTAGCTCTGAAGTAAAACTGAAAATTGAAATAAAACTATCATAGTTTAATTTATAAAAGATATTCACATAATGGTGATTATCTAAAAATATATTTATGGCTCTTGAATAATTTTTAAATTGTTGTGAGGGACAGGATTGGCTCTTCCGTCTCAAAAGTTTGCCGACCCCTGCTCTAGACTATATAATGTACTAGGCCTGTGCTAGTTTTTCTTTTTCTATATTTGAGATTTCTTCTCACACTAAGATTTTGGATAGATTATTTTATTTGAAGATTGAGTATCTGGATGGGTGGGGAGAAAAGGGTAATAATTTTTCTTTCTTCATAGCTGAATAGGAATGAGAGGTTATCATCTCCTACCATGCTTCTTTCCATATCAAGGCCTTTCTTACCTTATTCTTTCTGGAGTGATGACTTCTCATCATCTTGACCAGATTCATCTTAAGGGGGGTATCATTTTTTTATAGGCTCTCTTTCTCTGACAGAGTAAAGAAATATATGTGTGTAGACTAACTTGGGTATATTCATATGTCTACAGATATTTCTGTGTACCATCTATAAAGATATGAGGTCATGGTGGTGTTTCTAACTAATTGATTATCACATGTATCATTCTAGCCTTCCCCCCTACTTATCTGTGAATTCCCACTCTAACAGGAAGCTGTCTCCCATCAGCTTCCATTCATTTACTTAGTTATTCAATTCTGGTATACATGTATAGAAGCATTAGAGTTAACTGATACCCCCATGGGAAATGACTATCGACTAGAGGAGACTGTTTGTGTGTAGTACCTTTTGCTTTTAGTTTTTTTTGTTTTTTTTTTAAATTGTCCTTTTTTTTTTAGTTAGTTGCAGATGTACAAAACAATGTACATAATAGTTATATATTTACACCACTCCTCACAAAGTGATCATCACCCTCCACCAAGCTACTACCCCTCTGACATCTTACATAGCTGTTACAATACCATTGACTATCTTTCTTATGCTATACTACATATCCCGTGACCACACACACACACACACACACACACACACACACACACACACACACACACGAGGTTGGACAGTTGAGTCCGCGAACTCATCCTAGAAAAAGTGCTA